ATCGCAGTGGCCTTCTGACACGACCCAGCACAGCTTCCTAATTCATAACTGAGAGATTGATCAGTCTCTTGGAGCTGAATCAACAGTGTTTCTTTAAAGGAAACATTGAACATTAGCTATCAGCACACCAGGAACTTGTGAGTACTTTGAAACATCAGATTTGGGGGCACCTTCAACTTTTCCATCTGGGCATCAAAATGTGCGTGGCTCATTAGGAGAAAACTTCTGATAAGTTTTCTAACTTTCCAAAAATATCTGGCAACCAGTTGAATATTGCTACACAATGACATGATTTACATCTTTGATGTTTCAATAAAAACTGGCTTCCTCCAAGGAAAAGAGCTTGCCTCAGTGTAACGTTTTGTTTTTGTGGAAAGATTTGGATTTTGTTGCTTCAAAATATGTTGGAAACACATGAAAGGGTTAAGATAGGCTTAATAGCACAGAATGTGCATAAAAGTACTTCCTGTTAGACTGTGCTTTCTCATGCTATCTGATAGTGAGAAAGCGCGGCTGCAATCATCACTGTGACAAATTGTAAACAGTTAGTAAACTATTCTTAGAATTATGAACTACCATTTTTATTTATTACATCAAAAATACAGAATTACCAGTTCAAGTTCTTCTTTCTACAGTACTTCTGTAATGAGAAACTTTGTTGAGGAAATCCCATTATGATTCACCCTGGGAATTTATTTTTTCATTATTTAGTCAGGACTGTAGGTGGAGGTTTCACCTTCGGGAGAGAAGGATGAAAGCCATTAGAACATTTTAAAATATTATTAAATATAACTGGAGGAAAAGAAAGAGAGCATGAACAGTCAAATACAACCCCAGGTAAATGAGCCCTAGAGTCAATCAAAGTCACAAATAATTCTTGGAGGCTGGGAAACTATTCTAAGGAAATATTACTATCTCGCTCCTCTTATACCTTTGCCTAGATGTCGTTTTCAGTCAATGCTGGAAACAGGAAATATCCTAGAAGGACCTTTGGCAGTTCTTATGTTTCTATGGAAACTTAAGGAAAGAGGAATGATGAGCAAAGTACCTAGAAAAGGAATATTTCAGGACTCTTGCCTCAGCACAAACAGCGTGGATGCAGCTTTGTTGAGTAAGAAGTTTGTGTATAAAATAGGATTATTGCTAATACAGAGAGAGAGAGAGAGAGAGACGCATGAATACTCTCTGGGGGCAGAATGGAAGAATGCCAGAAAACTCTGACCTTTATTAACAACAACAACAGCAAATCCTTGTTTAGGCTCTTAATTTAGCAGTACCTCACAGCTGGACCTGGCAGGGTGATTCAGAGCAACCAGAGCAAGGTGCCCACACACGGAGTCCAGGCGAGAGCTGCCTCTGAAGAGCAATTCTGGGAAGGGAAGTGCAGGGCTCACCTCTCAAATTAACACAGATAGAAATACTCATGCAAATGCAGATGATGCAAATGGTCTCATCCTATACCCCCTCTCGCAGCTCTGGATAAAAGTCCATTGGTGGGAAACATGTGCAGTGCAGATGCCTCCAGCAGCTGGCCTTAGACTCACAGTCCACCCAGTAGCTAATACTGGACCCCCATTATCTTCTTGCCTACTGCACAGGCGCACATGCAGATGGGTTTCTCTGTTAACCCCTAGATCCTCATGGTCTCCCCAATAGCTGACTTGAACCCCTGGTCTCTCCGGTAGCAAACTCACAGGCCCTTTAGCCTCTTCAGTATCTAGCTCAGCCTTTTCGCTGCTTTAATACCTGGATCCTCACCCATTTAGCCTAGTCACTGGTTAATCTCGCTTGATATTCCTGATCCCGCATTGCCACGGGTATCCAAATGACGTGCGTGTGCTTCAGTCCCTCTAGTTTCTGCCACCACTGTCGCTTGGCTCCTCTGACCTGTGGCCTCACTCTCACTGCTGCACAGACACCTCCACACACACGTGCCCACAGAGCAGAGTGCCCCTTGCCCAGGAAAGCAGTGGGAAATGGAGACTGGTGAGAAGAGAGAACAGACTACAGTGAGCAGGTCAGGGCAGGGCCAGATGAGCCGACTGACCGGCAACCTGCTTGCACAGGACCAGCCCCTTTCACCAGCCCCAAATCACCTTGATTCCGTCCCATTCGCCACCTTTGGACCTTCCGCCAAACACTCCAATATCAGTCCTACTCAGCCCCGCAGTGCTTTTCCCTGGTGCCCCTCGTGCGTCCCACCCCTCAGCAGTGCCCCGCAGGCGGCCAGTGCCGGGGCAGGCTCTTCCGCCGACTCGTGGTGCCAGTGTCGCCTCGGCCCCAGGGCTCGTGGCTCCCCCGGTACAGCCCTGGGAGGGAACAGCTCAGGGCTCTAATGGCTCGGACAGGGTTATTGGCGTTCCTGTGCCCCTTCATGTGCATGGGGAGGAGCTTTTCGTTCCATAACCTACCCCAGTGGTCCCACAGGCGAAGTCGGGAACTGTGTAGACACCAGTTGGCACTCAGTAAAAGTTCTCACATATTGCAGAGAGCGTCAGTTTCATTCTGACATATTCGTGTTTCTTTTTATTGGGTTTAAACACCAAGGCTTCTTCTGAAGGTAGGGCTTCTTCTGAAGGTAAGCTCTGGAAAGGACAGACTGGCAACGTGCCAGCTGCCATGCAGGGACTCCCCTTCCCTCATTTGAGGGAGATATGCAGAAAGACACACATTAGGAAGCCCATGAAGCGAGCAAAAGGGAACACGGCTTTGTTGCCCAATACTGTGGAAATTTCAAAGAAAGAAGGAAGTGATTGGTTCTGCTTCCTTTTCCTGACGCTGTTTAAGATTTTCATTCAATGACCTTTCAAATATATAAACAGCTCCCTCAGCTAGGGCTGGAACCCATGACTCTCTACTCCAAGACTCTGTGCTCAGTTACACGGCAAATAACAAGATGTCCCTTCCCACCCAATGCCTTACTCAATATCCTTCTGGTCATATTTAAAATTTGGCAGAAGACCCTACACACAAAGCTGTGTAGCAGCAGAATCTTTCTGCGCAATCCGCGACACGTGATTTGTTCACGTTCCTGTGCCGGGCAGTGGACATTTCTAATAAATCTGGTTCTGTTCTTTGTCTGCATGTGCCTATCATGCCTTCAGAAAATAAAAGAAAAAAAGAAAAGAAGAGTGAGCTGCTAACACAGAAATGGAGACGTTGTAGCAGGAGCTATATAAAGTGCCTTATAGAATCAAATGAGGGAGAAATATTTACTGGGAAAAATGCTAGTTTAGAAACAGAATTAGAGAAGTTAAACAGCATTTCATAAATCCTAGGATCATGTGAGCTGTATCAAACAAAAAATGTAATGCAAAGACTCTGCAGATGTATCCAGTATACAATAATACCAATAATAGCATTTCTTGGACAATGACTCATGAGACTGGTTCATATTTGCCTTTCTTCTTCTAACAGTAACATTTACAATGTTCCTTTAAGACATTAAATTATAAAAAAATTATACTGGGAGAGACCTGTAAAGGTTTTCCATTGAGGCTGGTTACCTAAGGCAAGAACAGCAATACCAAAAGCATTCCAAAAGATGTCCAGCCTGTACTTTACAGCTTCCAAGGTTAGAAAATATACAGCGACCTCAAGCTGTCTACTCTTGTGCTTAGCTATCCTTCTGATTAAAAGTGTTTTCCTGAATTTAGGAGTCTACATTGTAGTGGCCGGTACGTGTTCTGGTTATTTAAACTCTTGAATTATCGATATGGACCTACTTGATACGATCAATGGAGCCTAGAGAGTGATTCAACTCATCTTAAAGTGCGTACTGTATGTCAGTTGAATTCATCGTCCAAAACGTGAGCTTATACACCTAAGTCACATGCAGACTCCTACATGTACAAATACTTAAAGGTGGATCGCTTAGAGCATTTTTCACTTGTCCATATCTGTCTGAGACATCCACATGGGGCTGACTGCAATGACACAGGACCTATGGAGACTTACATCCTTCTAGGGTAGCTGGAGGACAAGTGGGATTCCCCAGGGCATCTCAAATAGTACTAATATTCAGGCAGCTGAAGCCCAAACCTATTGCCTAAACTTAATCACCCATGTTTAAGACTATACGACAGTCTTGGAGGATTTACTGCTCCCCTCTTAGGAACCATCTTTCATACATTTAACAACATTTATCATGCCTCCCCTGGGTCTCGCATAGATGAGACGCTCATCACAGAGTCACAGAACAATTCTTTCAGTTTGTCTTTTCTAGAATTATAATCATTCCTGCTGTGTTTCATGGACTCTTTCCAGCTGATCATATCTTTGTGCTAGGATCCAAACACAGCATTGTAGGTGAGGCCTTATCAGTGCTGACAAGAGTATAAGCATTATTTCACATGTCTTCCATATGGAAACCTAGTTTATGCATCTCAGTTTCGTAACTGATTTTTTTCATAACAGTAGAAAATTGTTGAATTGTTTTAGCTCTCAGTTTTACTAATATCACAAGACTATTTTAGACAGAACTGCTAATTAACAGGCGACCACTTTTCTGGAGTTATGATATTGATTATTCTTAGCTAAGATCAGATCTTTGCACTGTCTTTACTAAGTTATAGGTTATTTCCTATTTTTTTCTCCAGTTCCTCAAGACCATGTGCCATAAATATTCTTAATTCATAATTCAAAAAAATTATGAAATGTAGCACCACCTCTTATCTGAAAAGCATTTCCTTGTTTACTAAACGCATTACAAAATTGTCCCAAACAGAAGGCTCAGGCAAAATAAGGACGCTAACATTAGTTAAATACATTGCGTCACTCCCTCATGATGAAACTGTTATGCATCATTTTTACTAATCAGAGGATATTATACAACATGAGTCAGACTGTCACTGCATATTACCTATATAAACAGAGCTGAGAAATATGTTCAACAGCTAAGGATTTAGCAGTGTATCTGATGCAGAGAACCTATGATTAGAATGAAGTCCCTTTCGCTTCTCCTGCTGCTGCATGTGTCGGTCTCCTCTGCTTTTCCTGTGGCTCCAGAAGCAGAAGAGGAAAGGAAAAACATAGCACTTGTGGAGGTAAATATTTTTCAGTGAAGTTCTAAATGAAATAGAGGGTAGTCTAAGAGATAACTGTAATTGCAACTCTTTTTTTATGGAGTATGACTTGACATTAAAGATATATTATTTTGTAGAGGTTTCAAGTGAAAGCTTTTCTTGTTAATCTGGCTTTGTGACAATTATTCATGCAAAAGTCATTTGGAAATTGCCTAACTTATCTTCAGATATTGTGATTTGTGATTATTTCTGTCAGACATTATATAATAAAACAATAACAATAACGTAGAAGCATGAGTTCTGTTAACAAGGCTCCTCCGGCTGTGGGGGAATAGTCAAACTCAGCAACAAATGTACATTTATGAATGTGCTTTGAGACTTGTGGCATGACTGGTTTTCCGTAACATAAGGGAGGAAACTCACTTGATCGAATTAGACATACATTTCAGGATTTTGCTGAATCAGACCTTTCATGGAATACTGAAATAAAAAGGAAATCTATGAGAAATACCACACTTGTATAGGTGCAACACTTTATCTATTGGCATCAAAATTGTTGAAAATTAATATGAAGCTTTGGATCCATAAAATCATATTTACTTGCTAAAACGTGTTGACTCTCTAATAGCACCCACTGGCTTCACTGGGAGTCCTGGCTCTGTGGAGTCTCACGGTCAGTCTCTATTTTGTTTGCAAGTTTTGCCACTGAAGTAACAGGGCACTAAAAATAAATGTGGAATTAATTACTAATAGTAAATATTAGATTTTAAGGACATTTTCTCCATGTACTCCTTCAGTAAAACAAGAAATCTAGATAAGTATAATGAAAGCTGTAAGTCATATCCAACTCTTCATATAAATTTCTGGAGAAAATAGACAGTTCTAGCTCCTGGCAAACACAGGGCATGTCAGTATAGGAACAATTCAGGACTGTTTAGAAAAATTAAGTGTGACTGAAGACAATACTGGTGCACCACAATGATGTTCTTTTTTTTTTTAAATTTGGTTCAGACTTATCTACAGAATTTCTACAATCTTCAAAAAGATGACCAGCCTCACGTAAGGCTCAAGAGTGTAAACCCTCTTCCTGAAAAGCTCAAGGAAATGCAGGAGTTTTTTGGACTAAAAGTGACTGGAAAACCTGATCTTGAGACTTTGGAGATGATGAAGAAACCCAGATGCGGTGTCCCTGATATAGGGAAATATGTATTCACAGAAGGGAACCCAAAGTGGAAGAGAAATAACCTCACATACAGGTAACATTCCCTAATTTGGTGCAAAAAGATATAAAACTCATTTTCCAATTTTATGAGCCTAACCTACGGTACTTTAAGCCATATTTAGACATCTAGAGTGATTACCTGATTGCTGGAAAGAGGCATACACTCCAGAAGGAAGGACCTAAAATGAGGCCATTGATTTTTATGCGTGAAAGATATATTTGAAGTTTCTGACTTTTGCACAGATTTCAACTAAATTGCTGTATTCTTAGCAGTATAAAAGTACCTAACATATTGGTTTTACTTTGAAGGATTGTGAATTATACCCCACTTATGAGACGAGCTGATGTAGATGAAGCAATTCAAAAAGCTCTCAGTGTCTGGAGCAATGTGACACCACTCACCTTCCAAAAGATTGAGGACAAAATGGCAGATATAATGATCTCTTTCGTTGTTAGAGGTAACACCGTTATCTTTATCTATAATAAATAGCCACCTGCAATGAGAAAAATAGTTTAGAATCCTAATTCATGACTTCCCTTTTCATTTTAGACCACCAAGATAACTCTCCTTTTGACGGCCCCAATGGGCAGCTGGCTCATGCTTTTCAGCCTGGTGAAGCTATCGGTGGAGATGTGCATCTTGATAATGAGGAATACTGGACAAAAGATGGAAGAGGTAGAGACTTTGTAAACTGTATCTATTTAGATAGTTTTACTTCATACCATCTTTGCTCATGCAACATTTGGTTCATGAGACTAATTGCAGGCAAAAGGTTGGTAAAAGCAGTAGATTTTGTCCTTTTTAATTATTTTATTCCCTTTTCTCCAGAGATTTCTTTGTAGGAATCTGTTCTGATAAAAGAGATATGTCGATCACAGTGGTTTATAACAGCAAAGAAATCAGTGCTTGAAAATACTTTTTCCTTCAAAGGAAGCCTAAACTTGGGTACAGAAAGATCTAGTTGTAAAGTTCTCAGATTGAAAGACCCCTAATCAAAGGGCAAGGAGACCATAATTAATGCCTGACATTCCCTGAGTACTCATATAGCTCTTCTCTTATAATATCTTTTTCAGTTGTAATGTTGGGAGTATTATTAACTATCTTTCGTCTACCTGTAGAGTGTTTTAGGAAGATGTATAACAGTGTTTCCCATTTAGTCAACTGTGCTGAAGCATGAAACTGATTTTACCTGTTTCGTATGATTTTTGTCCCACAGGATACAACTTGTTCATCGTTATTGCTCATGAGCTTGGCCATTCACTGGGTCTGTCTCATTCCACTGATCCTGGAGCACTGATGTATCCAACTTATGCCTACACTGACCCTAAAGAATTCCATCTTCCTCAGGACGACATTGATGGCATTCAAGCCATCTATGGTAACAAAAATAAACATCGCGTTATTTTTGTTTAATATTTCTATTTGGGGGGCTGGTAATCAATAATAAAGGTATATTTAAAACATGCTTATTCCACCAAAATGAAAAGTTCAAATATTGTTGAACCATTGTTCAATTGAAAAAGAAGGAAAAGTCCATGAGGCTAACTTCAGCTGAAATCCCGTTCTGAGAATATCTCATTCTGGAAGAGCTGATTAGCTTTACACGACTGGTTTTAGCAATGTTAAAAGCCTGACTTTGAATGACAAACCCTCATTTTAAAACCAAATTGCCTGTAATTCCCTGTAAGGAAGGTTCCTGGCGTTCTCACAGACCTGAACACTGGCTCTATTTTGCATTTCTCTATACTAAAAGGTAAAGTATTCTTCACTGATCTTCCTATAGGACAGTCCAATGCTCCTGTACAGCCAACAGGACCCACAACTCCACAAGCCTGTGACCCTAGTTTGACGTTTGATGCTGTTACTACACTGCGGGGAGAAATGATGTTCTTTAAGGGCAGGTAACAACGAAAAGGATAGATATTATCTCTTAAAAACATTCAGTGGTTTACAAAAAATCTATAAGCCATGAGGGAAAAGTGTCCCTTTGGAATGTGGTACAAAGTAAAGTCATGTATTTACATAAGGAATAGTTCTTAGATAAAATGTTCCTTGGCTTTCTCTAATCTTTTATTCCCAAGAGCCCTAACTGACAATACTGGTGAAAGAGATTAGGAATCGTAGGATATTTTCAGATTAGTCTGCCATTATGGCCATTGCCATAACAGAGTTATCACCACACTAGACTCTACTAAGAGCAAAGCAACAGCATTCATGTATTTCTTAACAATGTGTTCATGTGACCCATAACATAATCTTTCTGCTAGACCCCAATAAAAGAGCAGGGGTAGAACTGAAAACATCAGTATGTAGAAAGATTTCTATTAGGTAGCAACTGAAGCCAACTCTTAGCCTTACTGCACTACAGAGAAATAGAAGGGGTCATATTTATCTTGCCTGATTTCTGGCATCTAATTGAGGTGCTAAAGTTAAATTGCCCTTGACTTCCTTCACATTCAGCAGAGATATTCATATCCGGAATGTATTCATGAGTTTAGATAGAGTAAATCGCCATGGAAAGATACCCACCTCTGTCCTGTCGTGCTCCAGGAGCTTTAAGTATTGTTTTACATTTATGATAGTGGTGAAACTATTTCAATATATACATTTCATTTAAACCAGATATATCCTGCGCAAACATCCTCAGAGGATAGAGACAGAGCTCAATTTTATCTCACTGTTCTGGCCAAAGTTGCCATCTGGAATTCAAGCTGCTTATGAAAACATTGAAAGGGATGAAGTTTTACTTTTTAAAGGTAATGGAATATGAAATTCTCTACTCTTTTCTAATTCCTCCCTGCAAACTGTGCAATTAAAGAATTCAAAGTGGTTCTTCTGAGATGATCAGTGGAAAAGAGTAGTTGTCTCACTATGCTCTTGCCAAGATATGCAAATAATTAAATCAGAGCATCACAAAGTCATAGTGCTGGAAGGGATCTCCAGAGGTCATAGACATGAAAATTGGCTCTTCTGTTTTAGTTAATGTTCTGAAAGACAAGGCATGAAAATAGCTTCCTGTCTTCAGGTCTAGTTCTTTTTAAACAACAGCATTTCACTGCATGCAGAAGGATTTTTGCTAAGTCTCAACACTGAATTCAACTGGCAAATACAGTTGGCTGGACACTACTACTACTGTTGTTACTATTAGCACGGAAAACATTGATAAAACTGATAGCACATCAAAATATATATTGCAACATGGAACAATAAGACTTTTACTAAAAATATATGCAGTCTAGGTTTAAAAAGGAGTGAGAGAAATTATTAATAGACTTAGCTAAAACAAAATGCATTTTGTGGAAAAAGATTTCAAAAAGTATTTTTTGAAATTACTTTTCAAAAGCCCAAGACAGACTATTGGAGATCTTTGGAAAACTAACATTATTAGTAGTATTTTGTCACTTTTTTGAAAAGTAGACTACAGATGAGGCATACTATTTTCTACAACAAATGAGAAAAGAACGTAAAGCTGACAGTACTTATTGAAAAATGTACTGTGGGAGAAAAATTGTTTGTATATCGAAAACCCAATCTATCCTTTGCTTTAAGGTCTCAAATATGTTTTTAATGTCCGAATAGCTTCACTACGTGTGTATTACAGTCTCCGGTATATGAGAGGGTCAATGCATCTAAAATTACCAAAGCATTTTGGTTAGACATATGCTCCTTATAGACACATAAGGAGTCTTAATAGTTTAATTTCATGCACACCTATCTAGCTTTCAAAGTATTACATGGTTCTATAACTGAATAATGTATTACACGACTTTAATACTCTTCCCCATCCCATTTAAAAACATCAGGCAATTAGCAGTTGAACTACTAGTCCTCACCAAGTTGTTACTCAGAGACGATTTATTCTTTTGAATAAAATCTGGGGATATTACTGTCCATACACCTTATGATTCTACTGTTTTATTCACAAAAGCAAAGGGCACTTCCACTGATTTCTAAGGAGTAGAACCATTGTCTAACACAGTAAACTGAAAGGAATAATACTTAAATCTAAAAAATGTTGGTTGCAACCCATCTAAAATACAATTAAATGTTGCTTATTAATAGTAAAAATAATTAAATGAAATGTGAATATATTTTTCAGAGGATAAATATTGGGTTCTCAGAGGATATGACATTGCACCTGGCTATCCTAAATCAATCTATCGTTTGGGATTCCCAAAGACTGTTAAAAGAGTTAATGCAGCTTACAGTGATGAAAACACAGGAAAAACATACTTCTTTGTAGCTGACAGATACTGGAGGTAAGATTTAATGTTCAGCTACCATATAGTGTATTTTCTCTCTAAGGACTGATGTATTGCTGCAAAATGAATATGCAGTAATGTTTAAATTAAGTAGACGCCAGAACTTTAAAAAGGATTCAGTGAAAGTTTAAACATTTGAAGTATTTGTTAGGAAATGCCAACTTTTCTATGGGATTTTTTGACATTCATTACATTATTGTAGTGGGAATGTAATTACTTGCTAGTGGTGAACCATCTGTCTAGGAAAAGAACTGTTTTCTACTAAACTACTCACTTGTTCTCCACAGCCGTTTAGCTTTTCTGTTTAAGGTTATTATAGTGTATACTTTTCACTCACATCTCAAACAACATGAAGTGCTAATAAAAAGTGTTGTAATTGAATTTCCCAATGAAAGGTCAAGTTATATATAAACTCTGATTGCACAACTGGTAGTTTTAATAATTTATGAAAAGTTCATGAAAAATTTCAGAGGGTAGTTTTGTTTAATAAGTACATAGTTGACACTAATACAATTATGTTTCGATTGTGCTGTAATCTTTCTATTTCCATGCTTTGTGCTTTGCTTTCATACGGAAGTGAATATTCTCCAGCTAGTAAGAGAAAGTGATTTTACATGTATTTGATGGTCAAGGTTCTAGACAGGCCAGAAATGTAGGAATATATTTCTGGTCTAAGTTCCCAAAACCCTTAAGAGCTTTGTTACAAACTCCACTGAGGGTAAGATTTTCAAATCTCAGGACACTCACAACAGGCAAACCTTAATACATAATAGGAAGCATAAAAAGCTAGTTTTGCTTACCCTTATTAGACTGTTTAGTAAGCACATGCCTGAATTTACTTTGAACTTCTAAAATATTACCTGATTCCCTATAAATTTTAATAATATTCTTTGTGTTAAGATATGATGAAAACAAAAGATCTATGGATCATGGTTATCCCAGGAAAATACTCTCAGACTTTGGAAAAATTGGCAGAGTTGATGCTGCTTTCCAGAAAGATGGTAAGTAAAACATATCTTTAACACGATTTTAACTGAATATTTGGGCTTTTATAGAGACAAGAATTTATTTTCAGAAAACTTGTATTAATGTTGATGTAAATCTATTGAGATGGAAATGAAAAACAGTAAGTATGCATGGACTGTTTATGTTGATTTTTTTTCGAAGTACTGAAAAGAACTTATGAAATATAATTAGATTCAATTTTATTTGTAGGCTATGTGTACTTCTTCCACGGAACAACTCAGTTCCAGTTTGATCCTCGTGGGAAAAGGATTGTCAGGCAAATGAAGAGCAACAGCTGGTTTGATTGCTAATTGGAATAGCTTTTCATATGCACATTATACGATCTTATGTAATGGATTTTTCAGCATTCCATGACGATCAGGTCACGGTGGTTTTATGACCAGATTTTGTGGGATTATGATCTGAATAATTTGTAATACATATTTTTAATATAAATGCAGTTATGTAATTTATTGTATTTTCACCTCTTAGGTTAAAGACGCCTAATAAATTATAGTTGTCGTATTATCGTGTATATGCTTTCTGATTTGCACTAATACTCAAGAGCCAAGGCTAGCTTCTAAACACTAAAAAATGTATTCCAGCATGAAATGTCAGATTCTTTTCCCAAGTCAGCAAGAAGACTAGCCAGCTGGCGCTGAGCTCCATTACCCCACATAAGCCCTGGCGAAAACCCTATATATAACTAGGACAATTGGCGCTTATTACTGTTGGTCCACAAATCACACTTCTGCTTTCTGCCCTCCTTTCCCCCGCTTACAGTCTTAGCCTTTCCTTCAGGACATAGAGCATAGCAAATATAGATGCTTTTCTCCTGTCTGGGGATTTGAACCGGGTTTAAAATTGAAAAAAACAGAAGCTTAGAAAGGATGTCTGAGACCACTGAAACCAGTCCCCTGCTATCGCAGTAGCCACATTATATAATAGGTGGATAAACCTGCCTGCTCAAAGCTCTTTCAGGTCCTTATTACCCTGCTAGTTACTAAGTTCCTCCTGATTTCAGGGAGATAAAGGCTGGAGAAGTTTGCTTAAAAAATTCTTGCCCGAGAATATTTCCCATTCAAAAAACTCACAAAAAAAGTTTTTATATCCAGACTACCTGAAATTTTTTCATATATCCTCAATTAATCACAGAATCACAGAATGGCCAAGGTTAGACGCGAGCTCTGGACATCATCTAGTCCAATCCCCCTGCTCAGCCAGGGTCAGCTAGAGTACATTTGCCCAGGATTGTGTCCAGGCAGGTTTGGAATATCTCCAGAGAAGGAGACTCGACCACCTCTATGGGTAAACTGTTCCAGTGCTCTGTCACCCTCACAGGAAAGTTTTCCTCATGTTCAGATGGAACTTCCTATGTTTCAGTTTGTGCCTGTTGCCTCTTGGCCTGTCACTGGGCACCACGGAGAAGAGGCTGGTCTCAGCCTCTTGACGCCATCTCTTCAAATACTTGTACACATTGATGAGATCCCCTCTCAGTCTTCTCTTCTCCAGGCTGAACAGGCCCAGTTCTCTCAGCCTTTCTTCATGCTCTAATCCCTTCGTCATCCTTGTAGCCCTCAACCGGACTCTCTCCAGTAGATTGAAATGATGTTTGAATGGTTATCCACTTTCACTTTAGTTTTTTCTTAGCTCTGTTGGTAACATGAGAAGCTATATGACAATCACAGAATGTATCCTGTCAAAAAGATCATCTCTGGCATGCCGCTTACTTCGGAGAAAGGTATCAGAATTCTTTAATAGAAGTAATTGGTTTTTGAGAAAAGAACACATAACAGTACAGAAACATCATTTGAATTGTTTTCATTACTCAGTCATCTATATTAGAAGACCATCAAACTTCATGTTATGTAGCTAAAGAACAGAGTTGGCAATCCTTACATTTATTAATTTCAGCAATAAAAATTAGTCAAAATACAGATCAGTTCAGAAATAAGAAATTGCATTATTGAAAATAAAGGTGAATATATGATAAAATAAAGGTGAATATATGAAACGCATTTACGACAAGGGCACGTCTGGTGCCTTGACCATCTATATCGCATTTCTGGAAGTACAAGCTCTGGTTCCAGGAATGTTGATCTTGCAGAGTCATTTAATGTGATTGCAGTTACCAGCTTCAGTCCATGTAATCACCTGCAGTTGTCTTACTCCCTTTTAATAAGTTAACCATCCTATTTCCTAATTACTGTACTGTAGTTACTGTACCACATCCTGATACATGGTAACTGTTTAAATGTGTAGTCCTAGCCCACATTGCGGTTAACTGAAAAAAATTTACCCAGGTTGGGATCCGATTGCCTAAATACGTGTGTCTCGTGCTTTTGAGATGCTTTAAGGCATCCAAGACACCCATGCAGGTATGAAATGGGACTTCTGGAAGACCAGCGCTTCCCTGAGCTCCAGAGCCCACAGTGTCTCCCTCTAGATACCTATGTTTGGGTGACTGAATCCCGCCTTCACAGATCGCAGTCTTTGCCAAAGGTTTGAAAGGAATCAGATAAACTAGCTGAACCATTTGCCATTGTCCCATGTTTTTTCATTCAAGTTGAGTGATGATTTGGCTTTGTTGAACCTGTGATGTGATTCACCTTTAAGGGTCTGCTCAGTTCAGCTGCCTGAACAGGTATCTAGTGCCATTAAGATGCTTTGGCCCCCAACTGCCGGTCTAAGAGGCATAGGTCTGCTCTAGGTCCTGGATCACATCCATCAGCTCTCTGTCAACGTGTCAGCTTCACTAGGCTGTCTCAAAAAGCACAGCACACCAGTGTTTAGGTAGCTAAATTGCAGCCTACGTGTTTTCGTGTGAGCTCAGGCATAGGCGCTCATCACAGTCAGTGGAGCTGGTCAAGACTCTTGAAGTCCTGAGAGCTATGCAGCTCATCCTAAGTTTAACTCCTACATGTGGTCAGATTAACAAACAATTTCTTGATGACATTTGGCCATATTGACTAGATTTCTGTTGGCTATTATGTAAGCCTAGGCAGTTATCTCACATGTAGACACCCACACTATGGATCGCTGAATCCCTCCTGATATCATCACCATGATGCAGCAGTGTTGTTCATTTCTGTGCCTCTCTGTGTAGTATAACTTGATACTACCAATGTGGTGAGGACAGGCAGTGACCTTTCCAAGTTAAGACATGGGTCATATTACCACAGTCTGGATAAAACCAGTGCTACGAGCACAAGAAGAAATCACGAGGCAGATGAGAATCCACCAACTCTAACCAATGCTAAAGATAAGAATTAGGGAACCATAACCAGCGGCTGCTTTACAACTTCTTCTTTTCCCAGCCTTCAAGTCCTGCTCTAGGCACATTTGTGGAACATCTTTTGTGGGAAACTGTGCACTGAGATGTCTCTCCCAGGAGCAGCTGGAACCAGCTGCTGTGTTGTGCAGGCAGTCGAGTTGCAGAGCACAGGCTTCGAAGGATGTAGCCTCTGCCACTTAGCATCCAAGTGTTTCCTGAACAAATATGAAGGTCAGCTTGAGCTAGAAACTAGCAGCTAGTCTAAATTGGTTGTTTAAGCTTCTCTACATTCAATAAAGACAGAAGGAGACACCTACAGAGGTTAATTCATCCTTTTCTAAGATAGCTGGTTGAATCACTGTCTGGAGATATCTATTTCTGTTTTCTATAGAATTCTTAACCAGTAAGTGTTTAAAATTAAGCGCCACTAATCTTAACTTAGCTGATCTCATTGGCTATAATCTTCCAGCAGATAGCTGTGGGGAATGGATGATCAGCCACAGTGGAAAAAAGATAGCCACTTCTCCCAGTTCATATCAAATCTGCTTATAGTGCTGCCTTGATTTTTACAAAAGTAAATTCAAATTAGATGTAAATATATTTTCCAAAAATTTGTTCTAGTGCCTTTGGAAATTATGCTTGGTATAAAAAACACTGAGTAGGGGTTTGTGTTTTGTGACCTATGTCACGTATACAGTTAGATGATAGCACCATGCTAATTCCTTCTTGCTTTAAAACTTCTGAGACAAACAAATACCTCAGCTTAATAATGGAAAGCAGAGCTCAAAAAAGACTTCCGCTACTTATGGATAAATGCGTCATTTCCAGGATCAATTCAGTCATGCTCACCGTTTGAGAGAAATCATTGTCACAGTTTGTACATCAATAACAGAACTGAATGGGATCAAAGTCTCACGGATCTCTCACATGTTACCACAATACAACAATAATAATGAGAAAGGGTTTTTTTGTCATTTTAGCTGATAAATGTCATGGAGTTTAAAAAACAAGGCTGTGTTGCGAAATTTGGGCAATGAAATTCGTCATTAATACTTCCAGCCAGAGAAAAGTTGGCTGCTAGTGACAACAAAAAAATAACATGGAAATAAGGATTTCCTGAAAAAGCCACGGTCAGACAGAAGCATATTTGTTGCAACTGTTCTTTTAAATGATGAGCATACCCCATCAGAGCTCCTTTGAAGTGCCGACCACTTTCATCTCCCATTGCTATCAATGGAGGAGGGAGGTGCTCAGCCAGCAGCAGGATGAAATCCCATAATCTGTCACAGCTTGTGTGACTCTTGAAACTTCCTCTCTTCTGAATTACTTAAGAGAGGAAATAATCATATCCCCTGTGGCTAATGTGGTTAAACTGAAGAAGATTTGTCGATGAAATAGTAGATAGATTAAATAGACAGATAGCTAGATAGATAAATAGACAGACAAACAGGCAGACAGATGATCAGATAGGTAAATAAATAAAGATAGACAGAGAGATACAAGATTATTCACATATTTTAGGTTGGGCACAAGTTTAACCTTGCTAAAACTTCAGAGAGGCAGCACCTTCAAACTTCTTTTAACGTGCAGGGGATAAAATCTTTTTCACTCATACAGACCCTGGATTTCACTATTTTAAGTAAAGAAACACAGTCTTTCCAAAGAGTTGCAGCAGAGCGGTAAAGATGATTTGGGCTTCTCATCCATTTTTCAAAACATCCACTCTGATTTTATGGATTGATTGAAAAAGAAAACTTTCTGTTTGCATATGGCAATAATTTCTCCCAAAATTTTAAATTTTTTTGGATAGGATTCATATCTGGTTCATGACTCCATTTTCCAGACTGAGAATGTTAACAACCACATCTTTAAGAGTCTGTACATTTGGAGGCTCAATTTCACACAGTCGGTTTAGGACAACCTAAAAGGTTCTGCTTTGCCCATCATTTCCTCTGCTGTGAAATTGCTCAAGTTCCTAAAATTCAGCGTAAAGTATCTAAAATTGGGTGCCAATTTTGAAATGGTAGCCAAGCAGCTTAGGAGTATTCAAATACTAACAGTCTTCAGATGTTTGTGAAATCAGATGGGTTTAATTAAGGCTTTTTCTG